GATAAGGCAGCCACTGCGCGTGCGTGGCAAGGAGTGTTTTTGTCATTTGAACCAGCAGAACGGGGCTCTTGTTGAGCTGGGCACTGTGCTCTCGTAGGGTTCCGGCAATGTGGTGCATGTGCACAGCAACTCTGTGGGGTTTTGTCCCGGATCCGTCTGGTACGAGGTTGGAGTCGTCGTCGCCTTCTGTGAAACTCGGGATGTGGTACCCGGCATCTGGTTGTCGGCCATATAGGTCTTCGCAAATAACCAATGCGTCGTAGAACCGACGGACGTCGTAAGATTCCACCGGAAGTAGCGTCGGCAATTTCTCGTCCTTAACCATCGTGTTGCGCTGGTCCAAGAGCCGTTTCTGGAGTTTCGCCCGGGCGGCGGCGTCGCCCAGGAGCTGCGCCCGGGACGTCTTCTGATGAGAGAGCCAACTGTGCACGGCCAGCGCAGTGATCATGTAGTGTCCTTCGTTTAAGTAAATTGTGGACATGATGGCAAAGAGTGCCAAATTGACCAAGGGTTGCGTTTTGTTGGACATCATGAGATAATGTTTGGTGGCGCTCGAAGTGTCTAGAATGGGGTGGAAATGGTTGAGCTTCCGTTTGCCGAAGTCGTGGTTCACCTGAGGGGCAAGCTTGTCCGTGAATTTTCCAAGGTTGAACGCGCCTGGAAGGGTTTTGACGGGAACCCAGTGGTGCATGTCCCGACCACCTGTTTTGCGCTTTTGGATTGCATTCACGAAGACGTCACGATCATGTTTTTTGTACGTACAGCTACCATCCAAAAAGCATATGGGGAAATGAGACAAATCGTGGTATGTAGCGTAGCTCATGCAGTTACGACATGGAAGCATGAGGTGCCAACGCGTGAGGACATCTTTGTCACAAACAATGCCGAGTATGCCATCCGAAGAAGCCGTTCTGATAGACTTCTGTTCACTGGGTGACAACATGTTGCCAGTGGATGCGTTCGCCGCCCCGTCGGGCCAGAAGCGCGTGGAGGGGGATGCGGAAGGGAAGTGAGCAGAGGAGGGGCGCGGAGGCCTGGAGGAGGGAGGGGGCGGACAAGTGAGCAGAGGATGACGATGATACAGGAAAGCAGAGAGGGAGGAAGGGAGAGGGCGATGGAGCAGGGAGAGTAGCATGAGGGCGGGGGACAGGAAAGCGGAGAGAGAACACATGCAGAAGGATAATGACGAGGGGGGTGGGGGGAAGACCAAGAAGCGGAAGAGGTGGAGGCATCGGGAGGAGGTGGGCGACCCTGGAATTCGGAGAAGCAACGGCGAGGGCTGATCAGGAAGAGCTGGAAGAAGAAACGAGGATGCAGGAGAGAGGGGCTCAAAGGACGACTCCATGTACCCGAAAGGGCGCGGGGGTCAGACTGCTAGGGCTTAAGGACCACCCCGCCCACAACAGGCATGAGAGGTTCGGGCTGAAGGGTGGATGCACCGTGAATGCGTAGCCGGGCAAGGATGCATTCTGCAGCGCATGGGAAGAGGTTGGAAATGAGGGGACGGAAAAGGAGTAAGCGAGGAAGGAGGAGGGAGGCGACGAACGGGAATGCAGGGGCACAATGCGCCGCGACGGCGTGGCCACCGCAGGACAACATTTTCACCGGGAAGAGGTCTTGCAACTCCTGTGGCGTCGGGGGGGGGGGGGGGGGGGGGGGCGAGGGTTCTGTGAGGTCTATTGGGGTCTCTAGGCATCTGGTGTGGTGCTCTGGGGCCCTGTGATGTCCTGTGCGATCCTGCGGCTTCGGATGGTTTGCGGAAGGGTCGTGTGGGTCGGGAAAGTCGGGTGATGTCGTCTGGGGTCTGGTGGGATTGGAAGGGTCCTGTGGGGGCCGATTGAGTTCTGTAGGGTCCTGAGGGGCCTTGCAGATTTCCGTGAGGACCCGTGGGGTCGTGCCGTTTCCGTCTGGATTTCTTGCGCTTTGTCGTTTTGTGAGATATTGTGAGGTCCTGCGAGCTAGTGCCGTTTTTTGTTGGGGGGGATTCTCAGGAGCCCTTTGGGGTGCCATACTCAGGGTGGTGGGGTGGCGGACGGCTTGCGCGGAGCGTTTGATGGAGAAGCAAGTCGACATGCGCGAAATGATGGATGCAGGCGGCGGCTAGCGCGCTCGACCCAGATGACTCCGGAATAACACTCAAAATGTGCAAGACCCGCCGACGCCCGCATAGCAGAGGGGGAGTGCGTCTTAGATTATTGGCTTCTTCCTTCACTCTCTTACCTCCATCCTGGGGTCCAGAACTGCGTTCGGGGGCGGAGGGGAAGTGCGTCGACGAGGTCCCCAATGTACCTTCGGGGGCCAGGGAACCCAAGACGGCTCAAAAGGGCCAAGAAAAAGCGCCGAGAAAATCCAACACAAAGTCGAGACGGCTGAAGGTAGCTTGAGGGGGTCGCAAATCGCGGCAAGGCGGCTCAAGATGCTTCTGAGACTACCCAAGAATTGTCCCATAAGAACGCCGAGAAATCCGAAGGATCATTCGCCTGATCCAGACACATTAGCAGGATGATCGCGTGCCTCCATTTGGACATCTACTGAACCGGCCCGGAAGACTCTGAGATGAGACGAAAACGGCCTGTGGACCCCAGAGAACTCCAGGAGGAGCGAAGAGGGCGTCAAGATTCTTGTCGAAGGACTCCAAGGCGGCCCAAGGAAACCCCTGGAGGGGTTGAAGGAGGGGAAGACGACTTGAGACTTCCAGCCGCTCCCAAGATAGGGTCGAGGCTCTCGAGAAACTCCCGAGGCGCCCCGGAGGACCCCGAGAATGGTCGAAGAGGCCTCCGGGAAGCTCGAGGAGGTTTTTCCGGAGTTCCCCAAATGCCCCCAAGAGAGCTCCGAGATGGATCTGAAGAGCCCGTAGAGGCATCGAACGTGCTACTGGCCCACAACCCAGGCACGATGGCGGGCGGGGCTGGTGGCCACCACATATCTTCCGAGATCGTAACAGGCTGCCACTCATTCGGGGAGTCGGCGGACTGGCGGGAACCACTTGAATAACGTTCGAAATGCGTAAGACAGACCTGCGGCATGAATCGCACTGCAAAGGCCGAGGAGAACTACATGCTCAGAGCTGTGTTGTAGGAGAGCATGCAGGAGAGGGAGGAGGGAGCAGAAGGAGGTGGAATATCCCAGGAGGAGGATGGTGGTGACGAGGCGGAGGAGTAGAAGAGGGAGGAGGAGGGGGAGGAACAGATGGCAGGAGGAGGCGGAGGGTGCGGAGGAGGAGGAACAGACGGCAGGCATGGGAAGCAAGAGGAGAAGGATGAGGCTGCAGGATGCAGGAGGAGGGGGAGGAAACAGGTCCTGTGAGGTCTGCGGGGTCTTGCGTGGAAGACAGAAGATAAACGCTGGAGTATCGATTTGGGTAGTTTAGGACAAGATACCTGGACTAATGGAGCGGAAGAAGTATATCTTTCACATCCAAACATATTTTGTGATAAAATCCGATGGGCCGATCCATGTCTTATGGCTGTTGATTGTCTGACGAAGAATATGCCAACGGATTTTCCTGTTAAGATTTTACGTACAAGATCGTATGAGGTAATTCCAGAAACAACTGGCGAGGGCCAGGATGAATGCTATCCCATCGGGGAAGTGATTGACTGAGTCCTGGCTGCCATTTATTTGAGTGATCCCAACATGGGAATGCTCCGTTTACTGCCCCTAGAGGCTTACTGAGACCTGCGGTACTGCGCGGTTTGCCGGCTAGCTCGTGATAAAGTAAAGTTTCACGGGTGTGAGATAGTGCGTGTGTCACGTGTGTATATGCACCACTCGCTGCCGTTTGACCTCTAGGGGCTCCTTTTTGCCATTGCGCTAAAACGGACCATTATCACAAAACCAGTGTCCTCTGGGGTGTCAGTGGGCGTCTGTTTTCATTGACGCTGCGGTGCTCTTCTCTCTCCAGACCGCTATGTTTGTGTGAGTATTAAGAATATATGCGGCGACGGCCCTTCGGGTGATATAAGGAGGTTGGGAGGATGGGCAAGAACAAACTGCGGGCAACTGCGATGGGCGTGTGATGATGACGATGCTGGTGGCGGGCCCTTGGGTAGGTGACGACGCTTGATGGCGATGTTGCGCTACGATGTGATGTCACTATCGACCCCGCTATCGATATCACTCGATTGATCCTACTGTCGACCCCACGACTAGTCTTAGTATTAATGGATCCGGCGATCGATCCCAGTAGCGATCTCACATTGATTGGCGCTATGTACGATCGGGACACCATCGGGATACCATTGAGCCGAATCATCGGCATCGGCACTGCGCTGCCACCACTCACCATTGATCTCACTGTCGCTCGCACGATCGATTCAACTACCGATTTCACCATCGACCCCACTATCGTTCCAAGTATCGATGTCACAACCGATCTCACCGCATCTGGGTCGTTATCGATGTCACTATCGATCTTACGATCGGCCGAGACACCATCGGGACACCACGGCGGGACACCGTGGGACACCACGGGACACCACTGGACACCACGGGACACCGTGGGACACTACTGGGACACCGCGGGACACCACGGGACACCACGGGACACCATGAGACACCACCGGGACACCATGGCGAAACACCGCAAAACACCATCGAAACAAGGCGAAACAACACGGCAGGACGCCCCCAGCCACCGCGCGCCCACTGAAGGGCCAGACTTTTGCATCTGAATCGCCCTAGCGGCGGCGGGATCATTCCTGTCGCGCGCCCACGCAGCTTCTCCGCGCCCGCACGCACGACACGAACACGAAACCGACACTGGTTTCCCGGTGGGGGGTTCCCCGTTCCACTTGGATCTCACCCCCCAATCTCCGATCCGGTCCTCTGGCCATTCCGCTTTCCCACAGAGTGCGATGCGCGCGCTCACGATAGCGCCGTGTACGTAGCCTCCCCCAAAATACCTCTTCACTCTGCGCCTGCTCCTGTCCCCCCTCGGGCCCATGCCGTCTTCCCCTCTACCGCCGTCACCTGCCGTGATCGCCCGCGGCGCGCGCGAGGCCATGGCCGACCGCGCAGAGGCGTCGGCTCCAGACTACGTGCTTAACGCAGGGGGCAACTTTCACAAAATGGACGGGCTGCCCGGGGGGAGGGCGGACAGGGAGGGGCTGGTGTATCGAGAGCAGGGGGAGTAGAGAAGCTGGTAGAGGGATGAGGGGAGCACGGGGACGAAGGGAAGCCAGGGAAACGCTGTGAGCGGGAGGACCATGGGGAGAAGCAAAAGGGGCAGGGCTGGGATGAGGTAGTAGCTGGAGGAGGGAGGAGTCGGCGGAGGAAGGAGGGTGGAAATGGAGGGGCACGAGGGAGGAGGCATGGAGCTGGGGGAGGAGGTGATGAGAAGTAGGGTGAACAGGACGGGAAGGAGTTGGAGGAGGAGCAGGCGTGAGGAGGGAGAGGAGGCAGCATCCACAGACACCTGCGGGTGGGTATGCCCGTGCCCACTTGTGCTGGCTTCTACACTGTGCATGCGTGTGTGATCATGTGGGTGTCGAAGGAGTTGCTCTGAGCCCGTGCCACACACGTCGCTCAGCGCGCCTCTGCGCGCCTGTTGTGCAGCTCACCTGTTCGCACTGCCCCGCGGCGAGCAGTGTATGAGGAGAGGGCCGCGCCTTGCGCTAAACGCAGCTGCGCAGCAGGGTGAGGGCATTCGCCAGGCTAACGACGCTGTTCCTAGTCACTGGTGCTTTCTTCTGTAGGCATTATTGCCGTGGTCTGCCAAAGAGTTCTCTCCACATCTTCGGCTGGGACGAGCTGGAAACGAACAGATACACAATCCGCTCAAGGCGGTTCCGAACGCGCAGTCAGATAATCCCTCCAAGGGATCACCCAACGCTGTTGCTCAGTGCGTCTCGAGGCGCTGGTCAAGACGATGTTTGGAATGCGTCCAGGGGCAGACTATTGATCTGTTACTTGTAGGGCGCAGCGCGTGCACATCTCTCCTCTCTCTCTCGGTCTCTGTCTCGCACCCTGGTTTCCCGAGGGTGAAGACAACTGAACGGACAGGACTTCTTTGTTGTGCGGCAATCAGGGGGGGGGCACTCGGGGCCGCAATGACTTCTAGCAAAGTGGTGTTTCTGCATGCCCCTGTGGTAATCCTTGCCGCGGCTGGGCGGCCTCGAGCGACCGAGACCAGGTCCTGATTCATGCGCTTGCGTTTCCTTTCTGGCTGAACGGGCCGTCTGACCCCCTCCTGTGCTCAGGGCATTAGTGCCCACTGCGACGCCTTCGAGACGCCCGTCCACGCCCTAGTCGGCGTTCGTCTGTCCGATCGGGCCTGATGTCGGGCGGGAGGATCAGGGGTGAGGGTTTGGAGGGTAGGGGTCTCCCACGCAAGGCGTACCCTGCCAGCCTTCCTCGATCCACCGATCTGGCTCGGCCCGCTGAGCCAGCCTGGGGCCGAGAGCCGAAAGTCTGAGCCAGGCGGGACGACGGCGTCCTGTTCTGGGGAGTTGGTTTTTCGCGGCAGCAGCACAGAGGCACGACAAGCTCAGATGATGAGACCGTGACCTGAAGGAGCGGTCTGGCGCCCGACTCTGGGAGAAAGCATGGGACCCAGGTGAGGTCTCCGATCAACTCCTCGCGGGTGTGTCGACCGTCGCCTCCAAATGATGGCTGCGCTTGCAGCTTTCTGGGCGGGAGGGGTGAGGAGGGAGGAAGGAGGAGAGAGGAGGGAGGAGGAAGGATGGGGGGAGGAGGATTGGAGCAAACGCGGGTGTTGGTGGTCGGTCGTGTAATGGGCCCGTCGAACGTGACATCTGGGGGCTAGCTTGATTATTCGGGAAGCCGCGGCGGATTGCGCAGCATTCCAGAGCTGGCTCAACGCAGGTACAAGAGCAACAGAGGTATTGAAAATAAGCAGCGAAACCGAATGGCCCCGCCCTCGCCGTGAAATTCCGAGCCTGTGCGGAAAGCGGGATCCGACCACAGTACCCATCGCTTGATGAAAGCCAGTGCTGTGGGACCACGAGATCCCGAACTGCTGTAAGCGCCCTGATACTTCAAGGATTGAGCGGCTTTCTTTTTCATTCCTTTCCAGGTGGCGGGCCGGAGCTCAATCTTGTCTCTCTCTCTGTTTCTCCCGAACGACGGGTATTGAACTGCACATCATGGGGCAGCGATTCTTTCAATCTGATCCTGATGCGAGAGGGGGTGTGCCGGCCTCCGCGATTTCTGATAATCGTAGAGGGTTGGGCAGAGGATGAGGCGAATGAGGGATCGGGGGATGCGGGAGAGGTGCCTGGAGGTCCAAAGGAGGTCTCCATGGATGTCCCGAGAGGCAGCAACTTATCAACACTTCGAACCTCGATCTCCTTCGATCGAGCGAGCCTGGTTGGAGTTGTCTATTTTTTGTTTTCTGCTACGGTGCCCGTGCCCCCTGCTCTGGAGACCTCGGGGCGACCCGCTTCACCGTCTGCAGGGCACGGCCCGGGAGGCTCCCTGAGCCCCACGAGAGGCGTCACAGCCGACGCCACGGAGACGAAGCTGTCCTTCCGTCCAGTATCAACTGGAAACTCATGACGCGAGCGCCCGCCATCGAGGGGTCTGTATTGTTCGTTCACCTCGCATCGTTTCCCCGAGTGGTCCACTTTTAATGTGTCGCCCCATGTGGTTTCCTCGCATGGTCCAGGGGCAGCCGTGCCGGCCTATCCCACCCGCGCCCGCGGACCCGTTCGGCCCCCCTAACTTTGACTTCACATCTCAATACGCCTCCGAAGCTGTGCCGCCGGATCGGTGTCTATGCCTTCTTGGCGAATCAAGCAAGGAGGGCGTATCCAGCTGCCTGCGGCAAACACTGCCACCGTGCCTGTGCAAAAGCGCTGCAGGAAGGAGACTGGGTGTAGAAACAGCGCAATTCCGACGAGTTGTCTGATAAGGACGGGTCGTAAACTCGACCTCGTCTTCGTCCGCGCGGTAGGAAGGTCGAGTTCACACCCCGCGGCAGTTCGGTGGGTGGTCTGTACTGGGGACGGTCGTGACCCAGACATCGTCTTTGTTCGCGCGGTAGGGAGGAGGAGGTGAGTGAGGGAGTGGGAACCATCGCGATGCGAGTCGAAAACGAACAGCGAGAGCTTGCGAGCGAGCTTCTCGGCCCTGCCTAAAGCTTTTGGCCATCGGTCCACCTGGATCCGACTTGAATGCTCGCGTCGCGTCGCACTCGGAGCCCCAAGACGCGTTTGGCCCAGGTTCATGATCCTTTCATTGACGTGAAAGCCACAGTCCGCCACGAGGAGGAGAACGCTCCTTGGGACCCCCTTGGGGCCTCCTGGGCTCCTCCTGGGAGCCTCTTGGGCAAAATCCATCGTTTCAGGTTCTGGAATCACCCGGAACCGTTCCGGGGTGATTCTGGAAGAAGTTTGACACTGACCGTTTCAGGTTCCAGAATCACCCTGGAACCGTTCCGGGATGAAAACCCATTTGGAGCCATTTTGAGCTCCTTCCAGAAGGCCTCGCTGAGCTCCTTACAGAAGGCCTTACTGAGTTCTTTCCAGAAGGCCTCATCACTAAGCTCCTTACAGAATGCCTCACTGAACTCCTTGCAGAAGGCCTTATTGAGCTCCTTACAGAAGGCCTTATAGAGCTCCTTACAGAAGGCCTTATTGAGCTTCTTACAGGAGGCCTTATTGAGCTCCTTACAGAAGGACTTATTGAGCTCCTTACAGAAGGCTTTATTGAGCTCCTTAGAGAAGGCCTTATTGAGCTCCCATCCCCGAGAGAGCCGTTTTGCGCTGGGAGGGAGGTCCGAGATGGATTTTCACATTGGAACGGTTCCGGGGTGAAAATCCATCTGGGACCTCCCGACGCTGAGCGGGAGGGCCCAGCCGCGAGAAAACAAACTCCCGAGTCAGAATTTTCATTTGGAACATGGCCATTTTGGGGGCTCGGGTACACCCCCCCATCCCCGAGAGAGCTGTTTTGCGATGGGAGTGGGGTCCCAGATGGATTTTCATCCTGGAACGGTTCCGGGGCATCTGGAATCTCCCGACGCTGAGCGGGAGGGCCACCCATTTCGGCACACCCCTCACACGTTTCGTGGCCCCATAGGGAGCTCCGCCGAAAGTCCCAGTGGGTGTACCCGCATGCGTCCCGCACGCCCATTTCGGCACACCCCTCACACGTTTCGTGGCCCCATAGGGAGCTCCGCCGAAGGTCCCAGTGGGTGTGCCCGCATGCGTCCCGCACACTCATTTCGGCACACCCCTCACACGTTTCGTGGCTCTATAGGGAGCTCCACCGACAGTCCAAGTAGGTGTGCCCGCATGCGTCCCGCACACCCATTTCGGCACACCCCTCACACGTTTCGTGGCCCCATAGGGAGCTCCACCGAAGGTTCCAGTGCCGCCGCCCGCATGCGTCCCGCACACCGATTTCGGCACACCCCTCACACGTTTCGTGGCCCCATAGGGAACTTCACCAAAGGTCCCAGTGGGTGTGCCCGCAAGCGTCCGCACACCCATTTCGGCACACCCCTCACACGTTTCGTGGCCTCATAAGGGGGCTCCACCGAAGGTTCCAGTGCCGCCGCCCGCCTGCGTCCCGCACACTCATTTCGGCACACCCCTCACACGCTTCGTGGTCCCATAGGGAGCTCCACCGAAGGTCCCAGTGGGTGTGCCCGCATGCCAGCCGCGAAAAACAAGTTCCCCAACAACAGCATTTCAGAAGATTGCCATTTTGGGGGCTCGGGTGCACCTCGCCCGTCCCCGAGAGAGCCGTTTTGCGCTGGTCAGGGAGGGGGGGCCCATTGCAATTATTGTTGCTCGGGTACACCCTCTCCTCGAGAGAACCGTTTTGCGTTGGGAGGGGGTCCTGGATGGATTTTCACAGTGGAACGGTTCCGAGGTGAAAATCCATCTGGGACCTCCCGACGCTGAGCGGGAGGGCCCAGCCGCGAAAAACAAGTTCTCCAATCAGATATTTGATATGAAAATGACAATTTTGGGGGCTCGGGTATGCCCCCCTATCATCTCCCAGAGAGCCGTTTTGCGTTGGGAGTGGGGTCCCAAATGGATTTTCACTCTGGAACGGTTTCCGGGTTGGAAATCCATCTGGGACCTCCCAACGCTGAGCGGGAGGGCCCAGCCGCGAGAAAAAAGGCTCCGAATAAGAAATTTCATTTGGAAAGTTGTATTTTTTGTGGCTCGGGTACACCCCCTCCTCGAGAGAACCGTTTTGCGTTGGGAGGGGGTCCTGGATGGATTTTCACAGTGGAACGGTTCCGGGGTGAAAATCCATCTGGGACCTCCCGACGCTGAGCGGAAGGGCCCAGCCGCGAAAAACAAGCTCCCCAAGCATACATTTCATTTGGAAATGGCCATTTTGTGGGCTCGGGTGCACCCCCCCCTATATCCGAGAGAGCAGTTTTGCGCTGCGAGGGGGTCCCAGAAGGATTTTCACATTGGAACTGTTCCGGGGTGAAGATCTGGGACCTCCCGACGCTGAGCGGGAGGGCCCAGCCGCGAAAAACAAGCTCCCCAATCAGAGATTCATTTGTAAAATTGCTATTTTGGGGGCTCGGGTGCACCTCCCCCGTCCCCGAGAGAGCCGTTTTGCGTTGGGTGGCGGGTTCCAAATGGATTTTCACACTGGAACGGTTCCGGGGTGAAAATCCATCAGGGACATCCCGACGCTGAGCGGGAGGGCCCAGCCGCGAAAAACAAGCTCCCCGATACGAGATTGTATGTGGAAAATTGCAATTTTGGGTGCTCGGAAACACACCCCAAATCCATCTCCGAGAAAGCCGTTTTGCGCTGGGCGGGGGTTCCAGATGGATTTTGCATTGGAATTGTTCCGGGGTGAAAATCCATCTGGGACCTCCCGTCGCTGAGTGGGAGGGCCCAGCTGCGAAAAACAAGCTCCCCAATATGAGATTTGATATACAAATTGCCATTTTGGGGGCTCGGGTACACCCCCCCATACTTCGACCGGGTGCGTGGAGACCTCTCGCTCCCCCAGGAACATCATAGAATTCTCCCAGAATTCTCCCCCAGAATCTCCGGCAGCAGTGGTGGGGCCTTTCGGATCTCCGGCAGCGGAAATCTCCGGCGACATTTCCGACGAAATCTCCAGACAACCCTCCCGAGGTTAGGAATCCCGGCCAAATCTCCGACGAAATCTCCGGGAAGCCCCCTTCAAGGTAGAAATCTCCGGCGAAATCTCCGGGACATTCCGCCCGCGCGAGAATGTCCACAAACGGAATCCCATTGTAATCTTCCACACCAGGAATCCAATTTTAATCCTTTACAGAAGGAATCCGGTTGTAACCCTCCACAAACCGAATCCGATTGTAATCCTCGATAAACGGAACCCCATGGGAATCACCCACAAGAGGAATCTTGTTGTAAAATCCACAGGGGATCCCATTGAAATCCTCTACACAAGGAATCCTAATGTCAGCCTCCACAAACGGAATCTTTTTGAAATCCGCCACAAAAGGAAATCTATTGTAATCCCCCACATCAGGAATCCTAGTGTAACCCTTCACAAAAAGAATCTTAGCGTATTCCCCACAAGTGGAATCTTATTTTCATCCAACATTAAAAGAATCCCGTTGTAATCTTCCACGAGGGAATCCTGCTGAAATCCGCCACTCAAGGAATCATACTGTAGTCCTCCACAGGAAGAATCCTATTGCCATCGTCCATGAACGGAATCCTATTGTAATCCTCCGCGCAAGGAATCCCATTGAAACCAGACGCATAAGGCGTCCTATTGAAACCCGCCACTAAAGGAATCCTTTTGTAACCTGCCACAAAAAATATTAATGCACGCCTCCGCACCTGGAGTCCTATTGTTGTCCTCCACAAAGGGACCCCGCAGAAAGAACCCGTGTCAAACACGATGATACGGATTAGGATGTATCTGAATTGTGTAGGACGTCTTGAGTCTTGGAATTGGCGAGAACAGGTGAGCATGGGGTATGTCAGACCAGGGTCGAATATTTGAGGATTGCTTTTAATGCATTACGATTATGACTGTCGGGGCCCGCACAGTGGATTCAGCCGATGATTTTGATTGCCCGGGCCCACGCAATAGATTTCGCAACGCCATTTCTAAGCACATTTTGGCGTTGGTAGTTCGTTTATTCTAGGCTCTACACATGTTAGTGCCACGGTTCGCGGTAGTCTTAGTAAAAAAAGCTTGCCATCACCGCTCCCCGCTGCTCCCCGCGCCGTGGTCTGGGCCAGTGTTTTGTTGCGGCTTTGGGGGGCAGATCAACAACAGTATTGTCATATGCCTCGACTCCCGCCTGAGGCGCGGCGGCACTATTACTGCCAGCGACGTTCATTCATTCGCGGTGTGTGTGTGTGTGTGGTGCGTGTGTGATATGGTGCGGTGGTGTGGTGTGGTGTGGTGTGGTGTGGTGTGGTGTGGTGTGGTGTGGTGTGGTGTGTGTGTGTGTGTGTGTGTGCGTGGGAATGCGCGCGTGCGCGGTGGTGGCGGTGGCGGCGCGGTGGCGGCGGTGGTGGTGGGTGGGGGGGGGGGCCGCAGGCGCCCAGCTCGCCGCGCGTCCCCGGGGCCGCGGTCCCCCATCGAAGGGGGGGGGGGCAAGGGCGGCCCATGGCCAAGGGTACCCTGCCAATCGCGCATCAGCGGGGCCGCGCCCACCTGCGAGCTGGAGGGCACGGAACACGCGCAGCGCCCTGCCCATCGCACACCCCCTAGAACGCGGCCCCCCTCGACGGCGATGCAGCGACGAAGTGCTCGAGGGTGGCGCGGGGCACCCTGCCCATCGCGCATCCTTAGGGCTCAGTCCGAAGGGGCGTCGCACCGCGCAGCCGCGGGGCGCAGCCTGCCCCGCGGACATAGTGAGGGGCTGGCCAGCAGAAGTGGCAAATATCGGGTCGAAGAGGGGGGGGTGCCTTGGTGCCTTGGAGCGCGCTGTCCGTCCTTATCCTGACTCTGACTGTATTCCGCGTGCTGTGAATTCGCGCGGCGGCGCGTGGCGGGGGGCGGGGCCGCTGCGCGCCGCGCCCCCGCGTTCATTTTCGGAGCCGATGCCCGCGGGGGCGATGGGGCTGCCGCCCATGGCGGCCCCGGCCCAGGGCGGCCCCGGCCCGCGACGGCTCCGCGCGCGCGGCGGCCGCGGGCCGCGGCGCGTGGGCGGCGCCGTTGTTTAGCGGGTCGGGCCCGCCGCTCGCTCGGGGCGCGGGGCCACCTTCGATGGGGCAGGGCATCTTGCGCCAGGGGCCGGCCCGACGCGCCGCGCGGGGGGCGGCCCCGGCGAATTCGCCGCGGGCGCCTGCGTGCGCGCGGGCGCGGGAGAGGGGGGCGAGCCGCGTTTTGGCGAAATGTGGTGGGGGAGGCCGGAGCGCGTGGCTGCCCTGCGGCGGCGCCCGCGCGTGCTCGCGCGGCCGCGCGGTCCGCGGAGGGGCGGGCGCGAGGGGGCGGGGCGGCCGCGCGCCCACGGGCCGCGCCAGGGGGCCGAAGGGCACATGCAACGTGGTTTGTGCTTGCACGTGAAGGAAGTCAAGAGGGGTTTTCGTTATGTCGCCCCTTTGGCTCCGCTCTCTTGCTTCACATAGCTTCTCTGGTCCAGAGTCGATGGACGGGGTCGCCATCCCTGGCGGGGCGGCCGCGTTGCCGGCCTGGGTGGTGCTGGCGCTGGAGGCCGCGGCCTACCTGGGGCCAGGGTGGGGTCCAGGGCAGGCGGCCTGCCCTGACCTCTCGTGCCCCGCCTGCCCTGCGTGCCCAGAGGCGGCGGCCTGCCCTGAGGCCGTGGCTTGCCCGGCTTGCGAGCCGCCTCCCTGCGCGGCTTGCCCGGCCTGCGAGCCGCCGCCGTGTGCTGCCTGCCCGGCCTGCGTGGCGAGGGCGTGCCCGACGGTGTCGACGGGCGAGAAGGCGGTCGAGAAGCTCGCTGGAGCGCTGCTCGGAGGGCTGGTGCACTGGCTGGTGGGAAAGGTGATCGCCCGCAGGCATGTCGACGCTCGTGGGGTGGCTCCGCGGAGACGCGGGGCGGGAGTGGTGGACTAGAGCGCTCCCAGGAGAGCGCGAGGTCTGCCGGTTCGCCGACGACGACGTCGACCACGAGCGAGTGCTGCTACACTACGTGGCGGAGGGCGGGTGGATCATCCTGACCCCAGATGGGGGCATCTACGCTGAGGACATGAGCTGTGAGAACCCCGAGACGGGGCCTTGTCGAGCCTTCCCGTTGGCGTTGGGGACGCGGAAGATGCGGAGGCTGTATCGCTTCGGTGAGGTGCTGGGGCCCGACGAGTTGGCCGACGCGCTGACACGGGGCCGGCAGGCGGCGCTGGAGATAGACGCTGCCTTGCCTGAGCCGAGGGAGACAGTGGCCGTGAGCGGCCAACGGGTCTCGTGGCAGGAGGCTGCCGGCAAGCTGTCGGCCGCAGAGCGAGCCGGCCTGCTGCGCCTGGGCATGGCCGTGGCTCGCCTGGGCGGGAAGCTGCTGGAGGCTCCTGGTGCGGGTCAGGCCTGGATCGCCCTCAGCGGCGGGCCCGGCGTCGCGATCGGGGCGGAGGGCGACGTGGCGAACGCCGAGGGCCTGAGCTTCGAGGACGGGCCTGAGCCTTTCGGCGTGCTGAGGACCGCAGACGGCTGCAGGGTGCGTCTCGCTCGGCTGGACGCTGGGTCGGCCCCTGGGCGCGTGGCCGAGGAGGCCGCGGTCTGGCAAGATCTGGACGGAGGCCATGCGCGGGCCACGGGCCCCGAGCGCCGACGTGCAGCGGCCGCAGCGCCACTCGAGGATGGTGAGCCCGCCGAGCCCGTCGGCGGCACGGCTACGCCCGAGCTGGCGCTGCCTCCCCTGGCGGAGCCGCGGGAAGAGGAGCGAGACGCCGACGCCCGCGCGCTCTGGGTCGACTACGACGAGCAGGGCGAGCGGTTCAAGCGCTGGCGGGACGTGGTAGGCGAGTCGAGGCAGGAGCACCACCCGGACGCGAAGGTGGACGGACCGCCTGGGGCTCTCCACATGCTGAAGGACATGGAGAGGCACGGCGGCGACCCGCGCCTCTGGCTCGACCTCTTCATCCACATGAAGGGGCTCGGGCAGAATGACTGCGTCGTGCACGAGCTGAGGGCGATCGTGGGGGCTTTGTACCAGGGCGGGGTATATGTCCAGCTGAACATGGGCGGCCTCATGATGGTGGAGGTGCTGACTCGCCGTGTCGCCGCAGTGGTGGATGCCTACTCGGACCCGACCAAGCCGAGCTGGACGAACGCGCGCTTCTTCGAGGGCGTGAGCTCGGTGGAGGACGTCTCGGGGCCAGAGCTCAGGGGCTACGTCCACCGGCGGGCGAAAGAGCAGCACGAGATAGAGCAGGCGCAAGGTCGGGCGGGTACGCTACGCGGGGCGCCTTCAGAGGCAGTCGACGGAGCAGAAGGAGCTGGAGGTGACGCAGCCGGTGCGGGGCGTGGGGCCGAGGCGGCCGCGGGCGCGGCCGTGCCAGGGGCGTCGCCTCCACGGGGCCATGACGGCCCCAGGGCCCGGGGGCTCCAGCCCCTCCCCCGGGCCCTTTTTGCCGGGGCACGACGGTGGCCGTTTGCCGCCCTCGCGTGGAGCCCGCAGCCTCCTGCCGCTCCCGCTGCTGGGCGACGGAGGCCGCCGAATTCGCGGCAGGTCTTGCAGGGCGAGGCAGTTCGGTCGTGAGGATCGGATTGCGTCGGAGGTCAACGGTATCGTCGATGCCATCAACTGGATGTCGGGATGCGACTCGCATCCTGGCCCAGCCAATGACATGCAGCGGGATGTACTTGCGCGCTTCGAGGGCCTCGTGCGGGGCCGGCAGCCGGACGCCAAGATGCAGGAGCCACAGGCGGCCCTCCGGGAGCTGCTGCGGGGCCGCTCGCCATATGATGGGCGCGGCGGCCCGACGACGGTCGCCTCCTACAGTGCAGGGCTCGTCAGCATGCCGACGGACGTGAGCGACTGCCCGCGTCTTGAGGACCTCTTGCCTGGCGAGGCCCTTACCTTCCTGCAGGAGCGCCAAGAGCGCATGTTACGAGAGTCACCTTTGCCGACCGACGTCGAGCCGTACTTCGATTCGGTCCTCAAGTTCAACCACAAGGAGTACCGCGGCCTGGTGCGTCGGCTGCTGGCAGCTGGCATCCTGGGGTGGACTCTGACACCGAAAGAGAGGATTGGGATGTTTTTCGTGTGGAAGGATGGGCGGCGCCGACTTCGCCTCATAGTCGACGCCCGCCGTACGAACGCCCACTTCAGAGATCCGCCTGGAGTGGAGTTATTGAGCAGCGAGGGCCTCGCCAGGATCGAGGTGCACATGCCGGACGCGGGCTTCTCCAGCTACGAGGACCTCCGCGCCGCGCTGCAGGCGCAGCAGGTGTACATCGGCATGGCGGACGTGAAGGACTGCTTTCATCGAATGCGTATCGATTCAGCTCTCTCGCAGTATTTTTGCCTGCCGCCGGTCAAGGCTGGGGCCTTCGGCGTGGCCGAGGTCGAGGGGGCCAAGGTACGGGCGTCGACGGCCATTTACCTCTGCTGGCAGGTCCTGCCCATGGGCTTCAGCTGGTCTCTCTATTTCGCCCAGCGGGCCAACGAGGAGGTGAGCCGCCGCAGCGGCGCTCTCCTCAGGGGGCCCAGTTTGTCAGATCATGGGCCACCGCTCGTGTTCGCGCCCGGCGGGGCGCCCCAGGAGGTCAGGCACTACGTGTACGTCGACAACCTGGGGGTCTTCTCGCTGTTTTCTGAGCTCGTGAGCGGCGTGATGAACCAGCTGACGGGCGAGTTCACCGAGCTGAACCTACTCTTGCACAAGGACGAGCTGGTGCCGGGCATGGCAGTGGCGCTTGGCACGGAGATCGACGGCAGCCAGTTGCGCACTCGTGTGGCCAGTGATCGGTTCTGGCGTTGCCGCCAGGCCGTGCGAGGCCTCCTAGCCCGCCGCCGTGTGAAGGGGTGGGCCGTGGAGGCGGTGCTGGGCCATCTAACCTTTTGTGGCCTCTGCTCGCGCGGCACCCTGTCAGCTTTCAATTCAGTGTACGGCTTTGTGCGAGCCCACTACGAGGAGGCGGCCGTGCTATGGGCCGAGGCGCGGCGAGAGCTGGCCGCCTTCAGCTCCCTGATGTACTTTTTGGAGTCAGACTGGTGGCTGCCTTGGAATCCGATGGTGCAGCAGTCTGAGGCCAGTCTTCACGGCTACGGGCTGGCAAGAGCTTTCTGGCCGCAGGAGCTGGTGGAGTCAGTCGGGCGCGTGCCTGAGCGAGCCCGCTTTCGCCGGCGCTGTGCGCACAGTGCTCGAGAGGCTGCGCTCTGTGCAGCTGGCTTCAGCATGAGTGAGAGTGGGAAATGGGAACTCAAGGGCCTTCCCGAGGACGAGGAGGAGCTGGGCCAGTGGGACGTCGTGAGGGACTTCCCGGAGGTGCCCGCCCAGGGGCTCCGCTCAGGCCTGTGGGGGCCCTGTTTCGCGAGGGCCTGGCAGCACCCTGAGGGCATCTTGACCTTGGAGGCCCGAGCCCTGGTCAGCAGCATCCATCGTATCGCCACCACGGTCTTTGGGTCCCATATACGTCAATTACTGCTCTGTGACAATATGTCGGTCGTGCTAAGCTTCAATCGGGGAAGGAGCTCGTGTTTCAACTTGTTGGTCCAGATTCGTCGATTTCACGCTGTCTGTTTGAGCCGAAACATTCGTTGTTCGATTCGTTGGATACCTAGTGAGCTCAACTGTGCCGATCTTCCCTCACGGCTATTCGACCCTGGCGGCGCAAAGTCCACCCTTCTGGCTGAGCTGTTGGAGCTCGAGGGCGCCCAGGCGGGCCCAGGGCGGGTCCCCGCCTGGGCCGAGCCCGAGC